ACTCTTGCCTACGCAATGCAGTCATCTCCCCATAATTGAGGTTCCTAACGATATGCTGCATAGTAGCCGAAGTAACACAGTCTTTTTACAACTACTCAAGGGCTACAGGTCAAGGATCCAACTTCTTATCATAGGGTCTGCTCGTTTCCATTGCTTCTGTCATAGGAGTTTCTGTAGCCTTCTCTCCTTGCACAGAGAAGGAGAGCTGACCTACCACGCCACCAGTTAACTATTCTCAGTTTTCAGAGCCTCAGAGGCCAGTCATTTCATCATGATTAGCCAACACTACAAAGCTTCAGAATTATCAAATATACTGTGTACTGACCTCCTCAGCATGCTACAGAAAGCAGCCTTCTAATGCAGCCCAGCACTGTCCAGTTTCTCAGTACTTATAAATCCATAGGAGAGTATTTTTTATAAAACAGGCCCTCCCTTTCCCATTCACCCTCTCAAGTACAGCCTCTCACATGCCCCAGAATTGCTACTCGCCATTCTCTAGCTTTGTGTCAGCTTCACTTGAGGAAGTGGCAGATAAATAGGAAATACGTAAGGATGAACAATCTCACTGCAGTCCTATCATTCTGGTCCATCGCTCAAGACCTAAATGAGATTATATTTCTTGTTGTTTGCTATGGGTAGGAGGGAGACAGAGCTTAGATTTAAAGTCCTGATCAGCTGAGCGTGAATGTGGAAGATCAAAGGGTCACTTAGCATATGAGCTAAGCATTCCCTCATTGTCCTTGAGGAAAATTCCTCTCACTCTAAACTGTGGAGTAAAATGCCTGCCTGTCTGCCTCCCACTCTATCCCCATGAGAGATGGCTGCATTTCCTTACTGGACAGTTTCTGCACTCAAATGTTTTGAGATGAAAAGCTCTACAGAAGAGCAAGATAAATAAAACTGCAGTTTATTTATTAAAAGAGACTAACAGATTATTCACCAGACCAGCCAAGCTATTTCACAGTCTGATCATGTTCACAGTGAATACAGTGGGAGTTTTGGGAACAGAGTAAAGCCCTGTTAAAATTAAGGAGACGTTATTAAACAGATCTTTTCCACTAAGTCATGGAAAGGCAGGAAGCCTGTCCTAATAGTATGAATCATCAATACACCAGAAAGGAAGAGTGCTCTTAAAAAAAAGAATCACTGATGTCTGGCCCTGCCAACATCATAACAGAGCATGTAAAGGAATACAAAATAAGACCAAGGCAAGGAAGTCAGTCAAGTACTGAGAAATCAATACAACACAGGAGAGGGATTCAGAAGTATGAGAACAGTCTTCATTTAAATAAACACTCTGAGCAGTGCTGTCTAGTGCAGGCAGAGCTATAACAAAACATGTCTGACACCTGTGACATCCTCTGCTGCTGCTTAGGTTTCTTCCACCCACTGCAACAGCTGTCTGATCATCCCACTGCTGTGACCCCACACCTTCTTCTGGAGAATGGACACAGCAGGCATGTTTATTAGTTCATTTGGGACTTTTCATCATACACTTGCTGGAGCTTGGGCACGCTGTTTCCAATTTGTTTTTATAGCACCATTAGTGTTGGTGGCATTCACAGCCATCTCCAGCTTTGCAGTATGCCCTGCATCTATGCAGGAGCTGGCACTTGACTGTTCAAAGGGGCAAGCAAAGGTTGCCTGAAGGAGGACATAGCACAGCTCCACTGACACCAGGACTTCTCCTCTGTGCTGGCAGATCCCACTTACCTTGCCCTAAAGAAGGGACCTCGCTTCTCTTCTCATACCTAAGAGCATGGATTTAGGAGTCAGCACTGAACACAGAACTACATCAGAAACTTAATACAATTTCATGAATAAAATGGACTACATTAGTTTTAATTATTAAGGAATGGCAGCTTGCTTAGGAGAACATGCATTAAAGAACAGCAGGGAAAGCCTTACATGGTTGGGAGAGAGAAGCCATGGATTCTCAGCTGGCACACAAGAGTCAACAGTTAGAGCTCTAGTTCACCCACCAGCTACTGCCTGGCAAAGCATGGCTGCTCAGTCGCACAACACTACCTTTCTACTTCCTGCAACTGAATTAGATTAGAAAGGATTAGAAAAGGGATATAGAAAAATATTGTTTATGTAAAGGGCTGTATTTGGCACAAGAATACTACTCCCTCACGGATACAAGGCAGTCTCAAAACAATCTCTCTTAGAAAAGCTGCTGAACTTTTCCAGAACACGGAACCCATGAATTATGGAGCACAGGTAAAGAAAACTGTGTGGTAACTGGCACAATATAATTAGGAAAAAATGCAGTCACTTGAAAATAAAATAACCTACTCGGCTCACCTCAAAGCCATACAAGCCAGAAGTTCATATGAGAAGGAACATTTTTTTTTTTGCCATGAATAAATTATGAAAATAGGAGTATGAGAGGAAATCAGCAGGTCCAGCTGGCACAACCATTATCTAGGAATAGCCATTTTGCTGCAGTGCACTTCTAACAGGACACAAGCCCCTGGAGAGCACCAACATTGCTCACACCATCACTGTACTTGACAAGTGTCCCCAAGACAGGCATGTTTTTTTTCTAACTAGAGGTATGAAGGACAGTGATCATCTCACCTAATACAAACTGGTATAAAAACTGCTGATCCTATCTCATAATACATTTCTTCCAGATAGACTACCATTCTCCATCCATTTTGTATTGGCAATTTGCATTCAGTCTGGTTTTTTTTTGGGCTCCTACCGTCTTTAAGGCCAGAAACCAAGCACAGGGGTCATCTGGTAGTAGTCAGTCTCCTAGGAAACTAAGGAAGAGAAACCTGACTAAACAGAGAAGCAGCCAAATTGATGGTATATTTGATACTGGAGTAAATCAGACTATCCCAGCAACCATGAGGCTCAACATACCAACCTGGCAGTAGTCAGTTGTTCTCCAAAACCTTTTTGCTTAGTTCAGTTCTTACTTCCACCTAACTACAGTTTCCTTCTTGTCTTACCACAATCCCATCCAGCTCCTTGTCTCAGGGCTGCTTCTTTTCTTCAGATTTGGCTGAACATACAAGTATATGCCACTCTTTAGTTTGGAGTAACTCTTGGTTTCTCTAATTGCTCATCACCTGCCTCTTATTTTCATTTTGGCCCTAAACATTAGGCACATCCTACATGTGCATCCCTCTACCTCCACTACTGTAAGTGACTGCTTGAGGCACAGAACATGGTGATTTTGGACCACTGTTTAATCAAATCAAAGCCAAATTCTGTCCCCACTATACCCAACTATAACCTGCTCTTAACACCCCCAAAGTTCTTACTACAATCAAGATATTCTTCATGGCAGCTGGAAACTGACCTACAAAGTCTCTGCTGCTCATTGCCCACATTACCACAGTTGGTCTTATGGAAAAAACTGCCCACAGGATAGCCTCAGAAATGCCAAAAGGGATTAGAGCAGCATCTTCACCTCCCACATCAGCACCATCCTTGGTGACAAATGCTTTACACCTGTGAAAGGTTGTGTCACTGGGCTGAACAACATGAGCTGAGTTTTCCTTTAAGGAAGCATGCAATGCACTTGATTGATTAGGAAGCAAGACATTAACATCAGTGCCAGGCAGTTGGAGAGCACTGCCTAGACTGGAAGGAATGTATTAAAGGAGCAGATCACAAGACTAAAAGCAGACGAGAGAATCCAAAAAATAACCAGTTTTGGCAGGATCAGGACAAGGATGGCATAAAAATATCTAGTCTATCAAGAGGCTTCAGTCCTGCTGGGGCAAAACATACTTCTATTGCAGCTGTTTAATAAATTAGATTATACCATGAGACCCAAGGCAGAGGGAGAGAACCAGGAAGCGTGGCTATATTCAGCTGTAACTAAGTGAAAAGCTCCTGCTTTCAGCAAAACTCAGACTGGATTCTTTTTCTTTTAGAATTTAAAAGAAAAAAAAAACCCACTGATGTAGGCCAAGCTGGCTTGACCTTGCTCCTGATGCCAGGAAACACTGGCTGTACTCAGATGTCTGCATGCCAGAGCCCTAGAGGAAAGGGCGAGCGTAAGGATTTTGATGAAGTCTACTGAAATATCCCTGTCCATCTATAGCTAGTTGGGTTCTGCAAGACCTTCAGCTCAATGCACAGCACATGCCCAGGACTCTTCATACAAGGGTTTTAGCTACTAATTTATACTTCAAGTCAGTATCCACCCAAGTCTAGAACAGCTTCAAGCTAAAAAACAAACAAAAAACAAAACACACCAAAACAAATACAACATGAGCTTCCCAGACAGGATTTGGTTCTCTTGTTTTATGAGACCAGCGCAAAAACCAGAGTCCTCCTGATGAGCATCAGCTGATGAATATTTTAATTCATGTTCAAGTCAAAACCTACTATGCCTATCTGCAAATAAATCCAACAGCCTAGACTAGCTTCATCATTACTATTGTCTGGATGGAATATATTTGTTCCTGTAGGGTTTGCTTCTGAAACATACCAAGGCCCGCTTGAGAGCTGGCCTCTGCAGCTGTAATCAGAAGTTAGGGTTCAAAAGTACCTAAGGTCAAGCTTAGTCCAGCTTCAGCAGCAAATCTTCTACCAAATTTAGATTCAGTCTCTCAAAACGTCTACCATTTGCATATACACATTGCTATTTAGCTTGTTTGCATTTTAATCCAATCAAGAATCAAGTTCAAGCTTCTGAGCTACCAACAGTCAGAGTAATTTAGGTTCCAACCCCTGCTCAAAGCAGGGCCAACTTAGATCAGGTTGCTCGAGGCCCTGTCCAAAAGTAATCCAGCAGGCAGCGGCAAGGCCTCAGTTATTCTACAGCAAAAGGGCATCTGTGAGAGACAGGGACCCACATCAATAAAGGCCTTTAAGATGCATCAAACCAGGCCCAGGAATTCTTCAAGCTTTACATGCTCCAGCCAAGAGCTTCTGTGGTGCTGCTCCACTGCCCAGACCTACCACACCTAGAAAACAGACAGTTTAAAACATTAAACTGCAACTCAAAGCACACAGAAACCACCTCTACTCACCCTCAGAGGATGTGAAAGTAGGAAAAACAGCAGTCCTGGGTCCTCCCATATACATAGCAATGCTCTGGATATTTGTAGCACTCAATCATTAGGCTAGCCTTTCTTCAGTCTACTGGGTGGACTGATGATACCTAAAAAACAAGCAAGATTTGTTGGAGTATAGCATTTCACTTTTTTTTTATGGTAGATTTTCATTATAGCACATTTCTCCCACTTCACTTGAACACGCTTAAGCGGGTAAAGTAACCCTGTAGGAATGTATCGTAAGAAACAACACACAAAGCAACTAACAAAGTGAACGCTAACTTTCCTGACGTGTTTATCACACAGTGATAATCCTGAAGTACTTTACTAGTATTTATTCTGCTTCATAACAATTCCTGTATAAGCCTACTTTATATTCTCATCAACATGAGCGATGGCTAAATCAAGACAGACAGATCACTCGGCGCTGCATCTCCAAAACAAGTGGGTACCAAGATCAAAGTTTTAAATGTAATTTCTACCAACTGGTGCCTCTCGGTTTATGGATTTTTTTTTTGGTGGAAATTCCCTTTTTGTTGTCTATATTTGCTAAGATGCAGCAAGAGTTTTTATTTTTTAAATTAAGGATAGCAAATGTACATAAGCCTAAGTTCCAATGAATTTTAATTGGATCCAACACCTAGAGAGCTTTACTGAGATTTAGGGGGACTGTCAGGGCCAAGAGATTTCAGGTAGCTACTCAGCTGGCATCTGTGGGAATTTACCAACAACATACCTTCAAGATTCTAGAGTTCAAAAATTCAAAGGAGGGGAAGAAAATCACTGTGTTCAACAATTTAAGTCATCAAGCAATTGCTGAACTTTCTTCTGATGTGACATCAGGAAATTCCTCATTCTAGGTCCTACCTGGAAAATTCTGACACAGTTGAGAGACTGCAAGTCTGTCTCAAGAACCTGATTATGGGAATTTACCTCCAGCCAAGATCCTTGTAGGCAGGAATTTTACTAATTTTGCACCCTGAGGAATCCACTTGGTCTGTTTCCAGGCTGACTCCTGACTTCACTGGCTTGCTCATGGTGAAGTGGTTTCAAGCACTGACATCTAGTGGTGAAGCCAACGAGGCAGGCACCTGTAAGCATGCGGCCTCTCAAATTTCACATCCATTTATGTTTTGCTGCAGAACAGATCTACAGTTTAGGCTCCAACAAATGCGAGTGATGAAACTTCTGCAATACCAATGACTGGGACATGGTCAAGGGCTGTACTTATCCTCCACATACAAATTCAGGAAGAGAAACAAATGTTTATTTTTGCCAGAAGCCTCCTAATTTGGGGTTGGATTTTGAACCGAAATGCAATAGCAATGACTTCTCTAGTAATCACCCGAGACTTTATATCCCTGTAGTTTAGTACTAGAGACAGCTGTAGAGCTTGCAAGAACCCTTCTGTATGTATATACCTGTCATAACATGATCTGATCCTTTGCTCTTCTTGAGAGTGAGACAGCTCAGCTAACACAGGCCATCTTCTCATTACCCACATCCATCTACACACACTAGGTACTGTTTTAGTTTTCCTTCCTTCCCCTTTGCTATGTCCATTCATCGTACAAACGGCACAGAGGATTTAAAGTTTGTATTGCCAGTTTAAATGCCAGGAGTTGACTAGAGAACATGGGGAACTGGCTTCTATTCAAGTATTGCTACCTCTAGGAAAGTTACTGAACACCACCCACTTCAATTTGCCTGCTTTGTTTTTCCCAATAACATCCTGTTGGTGGTGGTGGTGGTGATGGTGATGATGATAAATCCTGCTAATATGCAATAACATAAACATAATGAAGTTAATGTTTAAAATAAATTAACACTTAGAAGTTCTAATTAATACTTGGTGCATCTGATACAATTAAGAGCTATAGCTTTCATATGAGGTATAGTTTTAAAAGAGGAATCCTTCAGCTACCACTGATAGGCAAACACTGCAATGGGATATGGTAACGTGCAACTTTTTACATGGCCATTATATTCTTTGCTCCTTTTCATCCACACAAAGGTGCAAGGGAATTTAACACATTCGGACTCTGCAGCTATCTATGTTAAATGAGCTTTTAAGCTAACTATCAGTCTTTGTACCACAGGCAGATTCTACTTAATGCAAGAAGAGATAAAAGATGAAGGTGCAATTTATAAGTCCTTTTAAGTCTTTTTCGTTTCTCCTGACTGCCCCACAACATTTCCATTACAGTCCTTCATCGGTTTGAGAGAAACAGTCACTCTTTTGCAAGGCCTCAGCTTTGTCTCATGAAAATATGGTAGATGAGCAATTATGAAGTGTTCAGACTAACTCCTCCCCTTCCATTAAGGCGTAATACACTGCTCTTCTCTGCTCCCATTTCCACTGCCCTTTGGAGCTATAGCTTTAGCTCATTTTTTTCCTGCAGAATGTTTTCCCAAATTAATCATAAACTAAAAGTTTCAAGGCACTCTAGTAACTTGAAAATATAATGCTCATTAGCCTAGTATAAGACACTGTCTCAACTGCAATTTGAAGTTCCATTGAATCCCAGGTAAATGGGAAATCTTATCCAGATCTTAAATGCTATTTTTCTTGTAAGGCATGAAAATTTTGCAATCTTATTCCAGCTCCTCCCCCTAAAGCAAGAATCCTTCCTTCACATCCTGGGCTAAGAACGCTGTCCTCCAATGTAGCCATGCTGATGTGCATGGAGTTCTTTGTAAATTGGGAACAGGGTTTCCATTATGTGGGGAGGAAGAGGGGATTGAGGAAACAGGAAGAGGAGAAAAGCTGCTAGTTTTGTTAACAAGTCTTTTTCCCCTTTAAAACCAGAGTCATAATTATGCTATAGCAGGCAGGTGTAGCCTGGGAAAAAGCAGAAAGCCAAAAAGTGGGTTTTTTTTCCTGCAATCATCTCATGAATAGATTAGCAATTGGGCCATTAAAATAACCAGACTTACTCATGAACTGTTCCCCCATCCACAGTTTTCCTGCGCTTCATGTGTGCAATTATGACATGCATGGTGATTTGCAACCAGTACGTGCAGCCCCACTTAACATACCACACTGCTGCTTCCCATCCCTCTCTGCCAGGGCAAAAAGCAGAGGTATTCCACTTCGAGCTCTTCAGTAAGTTCGCCTTTCAGCATTACACAGGAGACCAATACACCTAGGAGCAACAGCAGTTTGGAATGAAAGAAAGACTATTACTTGCATGACTAAGAATGACATGCACTCGCAAAAATTATAAGATTAGACCTTAAGAATGTCCTAATCCTTAGAAATAACCACAACTGCAAAGAAATCATGCGTTTGACTAAACACCCTTATTTCCCCCCCAAGTCCTTTAAATAAAGCAGCACTTTGTCACTCTCTGGCAGTGTTACGGCCTCAGCGTTACCGAGAGGCTATGTCTAACCAGGTGTTGGCCTAACCACAACTAAGGAAACAGCAGCACTCGGCCAGGCCGTCCTGCAGGCCCGGCAAGGGGCCTTGCTGCAAGGCCGCTCGGGCCCCCCCCCAGGCCAGCGAGGAGGCAGGGCCCAGGCAAGGCCCCTCCCTCCAGCCGGGCC